GCCCCACACGTCACTCAACTCACACACTCTCATACACAACCACAGACAGTATTGTATGTGTGCTGTCTGTATGTGTAGCCTTGGCAGTCAGTTGGTCCAACAGGAACAAGAGGAATGTCGGCCAAAGTAAATTATTGCCTGCTCCTTCCTGTTACCCAAAGTTTGTAGTTGGCTAGGGCAACAGAATTAATAATTTGTGCTGATAAATGGGGACATTCCCTCCTGAAAGCGGCTCATTTGTCCTTTTACAGGTTAAAGCCGCAGTAAAAAATGCTTCATGGGAGTTTTCCTTTTTGTATGGGATTATGGGATGGCATTATATTTGCCCCAAATATGGCTCAGGAGGAAGAGCGGGGTCATCTGCTGATCACAGGGTTGGCAGTTCTTTAATCCCCAGTTCCATATGTCAGAGTGTCTTTGAGAAAGACACTAAACCCCAAATTGCCCCTAATGGTCAGGCTAGGGATAGAAATTGAGAGAAAGATTGTCTTAATGCCAATGCTATTATCGATTACCATTATTGGTCTGGGTCTTTATTGAATCCCCTACTGATTCCTGATCAATTTTGTGTGTGTAAATGCACAGGGTTTCAGTGCTGTGGACATGCCAACAAGCCACACTTAAGCCACTACTACCATGACATACAAAAAGGATCTGCCAGCAGTTGAGTTGCATTGTGGGTTGACGAGGAAGAACAATGTGTGGAATAAAAAAAAGACATATCTAGCTCAGCTGCATCGATTTTCCCCAATCCCATTTTAAAAAATGGTCCATTGCGAGTCAGTCGTACTCTTTTAACTCCACCAGGCCACTTTGACTTTTCATTAATGCTTAAATAAACAGACTTCTAAAGTGTTCAGTGACATGGTGGTACCTCTTTGGCTCAGGGTAGTGTTAATGGGGAACTTTAAGGTGCGCTTTCACAAAACCTTCTTTGGACAGACATCAATATGTGAAACTCCTTACCCACAGATATCAAAAGTGATCATAAATGGAGCGATTTTAAACTAAAATTAAAACAGCCTTTAAAGAGGGACCAGACATTTAGTGATAAATGATCGGATTGAGTGTTAAGGTCATTTTATTAAACAATTGTTCATATTTTTTGCAGTTTTCTTGTTGAGGTTTGTGTACTTTAGGCCATTTATGGAGATTGTATGCTATGGTATGTGGCAATGGTGCATGCTATATATGTTTGTCCATAAAAATGAACATTAAATGAATAAACACACACATTTATCAGAGAACCAGAGAAAAAGTGCAGAGGCTGAAGTGAACAACATGGTTATTTCTGCCAATTTGTCTACAGACGGCACCAGTTGGAGGAGGAAACAGAAAAAGTTAGCAGCTTGCATGCCTGTTTAAGAGCTCAACTCCTCACTCCCCTCTTCCCATATCTGCACTATATTTGCATGTTATCTGGCCTTTCCATTTTCCACAGCTGAATGGCTGATGTGTTGCAGCCAGCATATCTATTAGTGAGCTGCTGGTGGCTCTCCCTTCCCCTCCTCCGACTCAGAGATTACCATTTAGCTGCTCTGCAACGCCGCCATTACCTCCATACAGCCAGCACTACAGCGGCTCTGCATTTGTGTTATCATGAAAAAATGCTTCGCCTCCCATCCTCTCTTCTCCTCTCCTCTCTTCAAGCATTTCATTGTTTACAGGAAATCAAATTTAATATTTGTATCTGAACACGAGGAACATGAAAATGTGATTCCTTCATTTCTTAAGAGATTATTTTTTATCCTCTTATCCTTCTTGTTCGTTATTGCTTACTAACAGAAATGAGAAAATGATTTTTTCCACCAAAGTGATGTTTTCTTTTAATGCTGTTGGGTAGTGATGCATGTCACATTTGAACAGAAGTTCAGAAATTGCTGTAAACGGGAAGGTATCAGCAATATGTCTGCATGAAAGTTCAGATAATAGATGTACAACAGCGCCTTTTTACTAATTTTTAAAAACTAACTTGTTAAACTAATGGTACTTTACAATCAGCTTTCTCTTCTCTTCTCTTCTCTTTTTCTCGTTTTAATTGGCAGTTTTCCCAGTGCTGGGAGACTTGGCTGCAGTAGAAGTACACTTACAAACAACCACAGTTATCTCAGCTAACAAGCTGAAATAACTGCTCTCTAGTGACCATTCAGTGGCCTGCATCTGCGAGAAAACTAACCTTATTGTGTTGTCAAATGACAGTTCATCTGTTCAACCACTCCACTGATCGATACCTCCATCTGACATAAAGCTACTTAGGCTTGCAGAGCAGTCATCCGTTTATTTCCCTGTAATGTCCTGCACAACTTCCTTTAAGTGCTTCTTGAATTTGTCCAGGGTGTCGTTTTTTACCGTAACACTTCCACAGGAAGGCAAGCAGGTCAGCCAGCTCCTCTTAGCGTGAAGGAGTAGCAGCTTGACTCTGTAGTTCTGTGGATTTGATTAACTTTTCACCCCGTCAGAGAGAGTGCGACAGCCACCCTGGGGAGCTTGGGTTCATCCACTTGTATTTGCTTGACGGTCACTTTCCAGAGCTCATGGCCATATGTGTGGGTTGGATAGAGGATCAGCAGTAACTCTGCTCTGTGGTGTAGCTCTGCGACAAGCTGCTGCATGGAACTGGTGGTCAGTATTTTGATAGATTTTACTCAATGCCATGAATGAATGAAGTACAGCAATGTTTCTTCTAGAAGCCTGGCTCTGTGGATGGTGTCAGTCTGTCTGCCCACCACTGTGGTCCAAACTGAAATATATCAACAACTACATTTATGTTACATTACATTCATTTTTATTTGACACTCCTGTGTAAAGCCATATACAGGAAATGCATTAAAACAACATAAGATGGATTGACAAACTGAACACTGGCTTCGGATAGAGTCTTTGGCGTTTTCAGGAATTTCGCAGCCACTGTAATTTCTCCTCCATGCTTGGAAAAATGGGTTGTTTTTTAATGGTTGCAACTGGCATCTTCACCGCTAGATGCCACTAAATCCTGGTCCTTTAGAGCAGTACTGCACCAAGTTAGTATTGAAATGCTATAACATTGTTGGACCTCAGGTGGATGGTTTTTCAAAAAACATCAAAATCAATGCAGCAGACCTAGAGATATAATTCCACACATTCTTCTTCCTTGTTAAAACCTGGTCCCTACATTACCCACAATGCGACTCACCCATCAACAAGATGGTTAGAGATTTCAGTGTGTTTTGCTAGTAGCAGCTAATGTAGTCTCTAGAAGAGATGAGGAGTAGCTTCTTTCTAACTCCACACCTCCAGATTGTTTTCAATTTCAAACTTGAGTCTGCAGACCCACCCAACGCTGACTCAAGTGACATCACTTGAGGCCGTTTATCCGGTTTCACATAGCTCCCTCAGGAGACACAAAAGGCTTTATAGAGCCACCAGCCTGCCTGGAGACATTGGTCTCATTTCTATGTCCAGCTTTGAAAACTGCCTCAACACACAACAGCTAGAGAAAAGAGAACAAAACAAAATTGTTAAGTCCCTCAAAGCACGGTGCTGTAGGGCATAATTTCTGGGAATGATCGGGACCTGTCCCACTTACTTTTCAAAATCCTGTCTTTGTCCAAACCAACGCTTGTCCTATGAAATACTGTCCATGTGTGAATGTTCCATATCAACTATCATTCATGAGTGAAGAACTATATGAAGAACTATATTTTAGGGCTGGTAGGCTGCAGCACCACAGGGGAAAAAAATTACCACAATCTACACTAAGGGGTTCTTAACATGTAGTTGTTTGCAGTGGTACGCAATTAATAGGGACCGAGCCAGCGACCGC